GGCAGCGGCAGCGGCGGCGGCCACCGGAGAGGCCAGCGGTTCCCCGCACATCCAGGCGCTTCCAGGCAGCCCTCCAAGCTGTGCCAGAGGCCCAGCGCACCATTCTCAGGTAGGAGAGAGACACCCCATCAGATCTGGGGAGCTGGCTGATGTGGGGGAAGCCAGGAAGAAGGGTTTGAGTCTTGTGGGAGGAAGGCTAGAGGAAGCATTACGTGACTAGGGAAAGTTAAGCTGATTGAGCATCTATTATGTGACGGGATCATAGGCAACTTTATGTATCTCTAGAAAATGATCCTAGTTGAGCACCTACTATGTGTCAGGCTGAGTGCTAGGCCCTTTCCTTATCCCAGGTGGGAAAGACGTATGGAGCTTCTACTCTGTGCTAGATGTGTTCCTAGGAGCTTTCCATTTCAGGGACCTAGAGCAATAGCCATTTAAATATGAGGACACAGGTTCAGAGGAGGAAAGATCACGGAGCACCTTCCTGTCCAGTGTTCCTCGAGCTTTTTGGAGGGTTGGTGCAGGGAGTGAGTTTTCTGGGTGATTCTTTCCCCCGGAAATATTTCCTGTCTTCAGCTGGCCTGGAGGGCCTCCAAGTCCCTCTGGTGGGCTCCTTCTGACCTCTCCTCCCTTTCCCTCCTGGCCTGGGAGGATGACAAATTCACAGCAGGTAGGAGGCCAGGCTGGGATGGGGCAGTGAGTTCGGGAGCCCGTGATTCAGGCTTACCCTGGTGTCACAGTGACAAAACAGACCCCCCCCCCAAGACCTCTGCCTGCACTCCAGTCCCACCACCCCTGGCTGTTCCAGGCGGACCCTTGAATGCCAGGAGGAGATGCACCAAAGGAACCCACTTGCTCTGTGCCAGGAGCTGTATTAGCCTCTTGACTTCTGCCTGCATAATCCGGGCCACCCTACAGGTTTGTTTCCACAGTCGCCATTTGGTCGATGACCGGCCCCACCAGGCCAACCCATCTGCCCAAGGGTGCTGAGCTGGTGAGAAGCAGGGCTGGTCTCTGAGAGACCGATGGCTGCCCACTTCTTACCATCCTGATCTGCCAAGGGTAGCCAGGCTGTCTTGGCCAAGCCCCCCAGGACGCCTCTTGGTGTGAGGATGGAAGTCAGTGAATAACACGTATGTCTAGAGGGGCTGGGATGTGTGCTAATGGAGGAGGCTTGAGGTGTGTGGGAGGGAGTTGGGGTGGGGGCTGGTGCAATGCAGCCAGCTCTGGGGACTCACAGGGAGAAGGACATGTCAAGACTCTTGTCTTGATGTCCTTGTCCCTCTGATCCCCTCCATCTCCCAGGCAGACCCTAGGTGAGGGGCTTGACGGCGAAGAAGGGGGTGAACCCATAGATGCATTTGCTGGGAGCCGGCTGGGCAGGGATTGGGGTGAGTCCTAGGCAGGGTGCCTGTCCCCAGCCACCTGTGGGAAGAGAGAGGGAATAAGAATCTAATAGGGCCTCAGGGGTCATTCCTCTGCCTGACGCCAGCTGAAACTTCAGAGTCAGGCGCTGTTTGGAAAAAGATGGGTTTTGGCCAGGGGGTGGGGTTTTATGGAGGTAAGAGCCCAGGCTTTCAAGCCCAGCAGCCTAATTCTCATCCTGGCCTGGCCAGTGATCCGAGTGAGCTCCCCAGGGTCCCCACCAGTCCAGTGGGTGGATGGTGGTCTGTTCTTCACGGGACAATCGGGAGGTCCCTGGAACAAGGTACGCGAAGCATCCGGTGTGACAGAAACCTGTCTGGCTAGGCTGTTCTCTCCCCTCCGCCCCACTCCATCTCCGCTCTGGGACTTTCTGCCTCCCAGAGCCCCTGGGAGTGGCTTGGGGTGGGGTCAGCTGAGAGTCACAGAGCTCCCCTTAGGGTTCTTATGCTGTGAGGGGTCCCCATTAGCCACTCTCTGAGCCTCCAGGGTTAGGCTCTACATTTTCAAAGGGCCCCTCTCTGCTCCTCGCTGTGTGGGGTCAGCCCGGCTGAGGATGGAGAGGGGAGAGCCGGCAGCAGGGGAAAGAAGCTGTGCCCACAGCAGCCCACAGTGCGGCCTCTGGGGGAGGAGAGGGAAGGAGGATATGGGGACAGGAGGTGGGGCTCACAGAAGCGTCAGCTGGCGTCCAGGTGTCTGGGTGCCACACACAGCCCCACGTGCCTGGGGCCATGTGAAGACTCACAGTCGTCTCCCAGAGAGGAAAGCCACTCCCCCTCTCTCTCCCCCTCCCCCGCCCCGCCTTTGCCTCCTTCTGACGCCCTGTCTCCTCTCTGACTCTCCTCTCTTCCTTCCTCAGGCTCCTTCAGCCACTGATAGAAGCACGTCTTTACCAGGAACCCTGGGCTAGAAGCCGGGCAGGCGATGATGGGGACTAGCATGGTCCCTGGGTCCCTGGGTCCCTAGGGGCTGCCAGCCTCCTTCCCTCTCAGTCTAGACAGAGGTGATCACAGCAGAATCAAGCTCCCTGCAGGGGGACTGGGGAGGGGTCTGTCCTTGCGTGGGGACTCTTTCCCTCCCGTCTCCGCTGAAGGCCCAGGCTGCCTTGCTGAGAAGCCTTCAGCTCCCCACCCCCAACTGTGCACCCACAGGTGTGTCCAGGGCACAGAGACCCTCAGCACAGCACCTGGGCCAGCCAGGCGGGGCGGGGGAGGAGGGACAAGGCCTCAGAAGGAAGCTGCAGGAGAGCGCCAAAGGCAGACCGTCTTGCTTCATTCATTTCTGGATTGTTCATCCAGCCCTTGCTGGGTACAAGGCACTGAGATCCTATGGGATAAACTGAGAGATGGCTGCAGGCATGAAGGGGGTGGGGTGGGCATCTTTATCTTGGAGTCACTGTCCTGGCTCCCTTATTAACTACACAGGCCAGTCATGGGGACGTTTAAGTATCAGGGTGCTTATTTGTAATAGGCAGATAATATCTTCCCTATACGGAGGCGGAGGTGGTGAGGATGCTCCGTGCATGGGGCAGACAGCCTGGGGTCAGATCTCTCCTTTGCTGGTTGCTGGCTGTGTGACCATGAGCAGTTACTAAACTTCTCTGTGCCTCAGTATCCCCTCCTATAAACTGGGGGAACACCACCTACCTTCTGGGGTTACTCGGGGCAGGGAGCGAGTGAGTACACGTTAATCAGGGCGCCCAGGACACTCTGGCATAGGTTGACTGCAAGGTCAATGTCAGCTCCCACCAGAATCCGCTTAGAATCCCTGATTTTGTTCCTGTACTTAGCACAGGGCCAGGCACATGGCAGGGGCTGGGAGAGTGGTGGTTGTCAGGGCTCCAGGCTTGCTTAGGGTCAGCGGTGTGCCAAGCGGGCTTATGTGCGCCTTTCTTTGCAGTTCATTCATCGAGGTCCTCCTGGTAGCTGGGAATTGGCCATGGTGGGAATGTGTGTGCCATGGAGGTTGATAAATGCTACCAATAAAAGCTTTTGAAAAAGGTAATTCTGAGAGCCGGTTTACTGCACTGTGGCTCTCAGTTGGACAGGGCGCCAGTCAGGGCAGACGCCTGAATGCCCCGAACAGGGCGTATGCCAGAAGACACACACAAGAGGTCCCTCCACCTCCAGTCTCTTAGCCTTACAGCAGAGGATATTATGACGTCGGAGAGGGCCTTGGGGTAAATGGATGAGGCATTCCAGGCCCCTGAGCTGGAGAACCCAGGCGGGCCGACCAGTGGAGCTGGCCTGTACAGTTCCCAGTGCACCCTGAAAAGAGGTGCCTTCTCTGGGCAGATGAACTCCACGAAGACATTCCCTGCTTTCCCACTCAGCTGGGTGCCTTGTGCAGTGCCCAGCCTGCACAACTGTGTGTGGCAGCAGGCGGAGGGCAGAGGAGACTGATATCCAGCAGGCCTGTATCCATTTCTAGTTCCTCTTCTCTAGAGGGAGGAGGGATTCCTGCTGGGGTAGGCTGGGGAACCAGAGAAGTCTCCGGAGAGGAGGTGGTATGTGAGCCAGGGCTTGAAGCATAAAGAGAAGAGGGTGTTCTGGCAGAGGGACCAGCACGAGCTAAGAAGTGGAGGCAGATCTCAGCAGAGCTCCAACAGAGTGATGGGCTCAGGGATTCTGAGTGGATTCTGGTGGGTGCTGACGGAGTGAAGGGGAGTGGCAGGGCTGCGGCTGGCCTTTGGGGTGGGCCTGTTGGGGCCCTGGGGCTCTATTTATCTCCATTTGGGCTTTGGAGCTGGGACCCATTTCAGTCTCTTCCACGAGGTTGAGGATCCCCCATAGAAAGTTTTGGGTGTGCCTCCGAACCATAAACCCTTGGAGCTTTGAGGGACTCGAGTTGTCCCAGGGTCATTTCTCTGACCCACATCCAGGTCTCTGGATCTCCTGGAGGTGAGCAAATTCCCAGGGTCTGGGGCTGGAACCTCTGGGCCTGGGCTGCGGAGGACGTGATCTGGACCTTGCTTTTTTCCCTCTTTCTGGGAAGGCCCCAAAGTCCACAGCACCCCCCACCCCAGGCCTAAGAAACGGCTCTCTAGTGCCTTCCCCAGGTCGTGGCCTGGACTCACAGCTCCTGGGAGGCCAGAACAGGGAAAGGCCCCAACAAAGGGCCAGGGAAAGATCAGGTTCTAGCAGGAGTTAACGTTTTGTGACCTGAGCCTGTGCGACAATCCGGGGAGCAGAGTCCCTTTCATAGACACGACAAGTGACTCTCGGGGAACGCCAGCGACTGGCCGGCCGAGAGCAGCAGGGAGCTGGCGTAAAGCGAAAATTCAGGCCCCAGCCGTCCTGGGCCGGAATAAACAGGGGGTGAACGGACGCCAGTGCGGGGAGCCCCTGTGTGGTGGGTGGATGGGCAGGAAGGAGGCCGAGAGGGCGTGAATGAAGGCACAGGCAGGGCTGCCAGGCCCCCTAGAGATGCCCCAGTCTAATGTCTCCGTCTTACAGACAGAAAGTGGACACCTAGACAGGAGCCCCGCGGAGGAGACCAAGGCGGCCAGCAAGAGGCTGCAGGGCCGGGTGCAGGGTCTCCTGGCGTCGGCTCCCCGCTCCGTGCCGCCGGCCCGAGCCATGATGAAGACCTTGTCCAGCGGGAACTGCACGCTCAGCGTGCCCGCCAAGAACTCGTACCGCATGGTGGTGCTGGGTGCCTCGCGGGTGGGCAAGAGCTCCATCGTCTCCCGCTTCCTCAACGGCCGCTTCGAGGACCAGTACACGCCTACCATCGAGGACTTCCACCGGAAGGTCTACAACATCCGAGGTGACATGTACCAGCTGGACATCCTGGACACGTCCGGCAACCACCCCTTCCCTGCCATGCGCAGGCTGTCCATCCTCACAGGTGGGTGTCTGGGGCCGGTGGTGGGGGGTGCACGTATCTGCTCACCGCTAGCCCCACCCCGGGCTTGGGGAGGGGCAGAGAGGGTGGGTGCCGCTTGCCGGAGCAGGTGACCAAGCTGGGGCCCAAATCCCACACCGGCTGGCTGGCATGGAGTGCTGCAGGGCTGCCTTCCAGGTCAGGCGCTGATGCAGGCGGGTGTGCGGGGGAGAGGGGTCGTCCTCTCCGGGGAGCAGAGAGGGGCTCCCACCTTCCTCCTGCTGGATGTCGCCCTGCAGAGCCCTGGGGCCCAGGGTCAGTCTGCTGGCCTCAGTTCTCTTGACATCCCAGGCCTTTGCTGTCCCTCAGAGCAGTAAGGGCGGGCCCCAGGGAGCAGTCAGTCAAAGGGCAGGTGGGAGCCCTGCCCAGGCCAGTAACTTAGTAATAATCACAGTTAACAGTGGTGGCAATAGCTAATGCTTCTCAAGCTGCGTGCCTGAACCCATTCTTAGAGCTCGTGTGGGTTTCTTTCGTCCTCACAACTAATCTGGGAGATGGGGCTTTGCTTCCATTTTACAAGTGGGGAAACCAAGGCCCAGAGAGGTTAAGTTAGTCCAGGTGGTAACACAGGCGGTCCCTGGCTGTCTGGCTCTTCTTCTCCACCACATAACTGTCCTGTAGTCTCTTGGCCCTGCTGGGAATGACGGGGAGGGAAGAGAGATTGCCCGGGATTAAGGGGGTGGATGGAGATGGGGGCCTGGGCCATCCTTTGCCTAACCCAGGCAGTTTCCCCGTGGTGGCTGTAGGAGGGCGGGCCAGAAACCGGTCTGCCCGGGGCAGCTGCTTCCTGGTTTCGTACCTTTGGGCAAGTGACTTTATCTGTCAGCAGCTTGGTCCTCCTCTCTGTGAGAGCATGGTGTCAGTGCCCACCCCAAAGGTCACGGTGAGAAGTAAGTGAGTTCATACAGCAGAAGTGCTTGGTGAACAGAGAGTAAGTGCTCAGCAAACACGGGTCTTACACTAACCCAGCATTTATAGAGTGCCTGCTCGGGGCTAGGCAGAGTCCTTGCCTGAGCCGTGCTTCTCCCACTGAAGGGAAGGAGTGAGCAAGTGCCCCCTAGCCATCACTAAAATAACCCCCCAAACGGAGATGCTCTTGGACCAAGAAACACACGCCGTGTGTACTCCTGCCCCCTCACCCGAGCCAAGCCCCCTCCTTCAGCGCCCTGGGCAGATGGCTTCTTCCTGCAGGCTGTCCTTGTGGACTGTCCAACCCAGCCCATAGTTTGGAGAGGCTGTGTGCTGATGGAAGGAGCCCTGGGTTGACCTGGAGCCACTTGGTGGCTTCGAGGCGTGATCAGAGATCTGAGTCTCAGTCTCCCCAGCGGCACGGCAGACATCGGCTTGCTCCCCCTGCAGTGTGGCTGTGGGGACAATTCAAGCACCTGCTGGGGGTGCAGGGATGTCTGCTTTCCTTGCCTTGGGGAGGGGACTGGGTGCCCACTAATATAAATAAGGCTAACATTAGAGGGAGGAGAGAGACAGATGTAGAGGAGGACCACGAGCGTATTTCCAAAATTCATTTTTTAATTACACCAGTGATTTGCAAACGCACCCTCCTATAAACACAGAGAAGGCTAAAGAAGCCCCCTTGTCCTGTGTCCCCAACGCCAGACTCCTGTCCCCTCCCCAGCGGTAGCCACTCCATTAGTCTGGCGGGGACGCTTCTGGACCCCCCACGAACGCACTGACCTTTATGTTTGTATCATCGTTGTGACCGGGACGGTTTTTGTCCATCTCCTTTGAACGTGCACTTAGGATTAGGAACACATCTGTCTGCTGCTTTTTTCTTTTTTCCTCACCCACCAGCCCGTGCCTCGTTTTCCAACCTGGTGCTGGTGCGCAGGAAATTCTGAAAGCCGTTAATTGTGCTGCCGGCTCTCTTTCCAGCTGCCAGCCAGGCTGTCTCTGAAGCTTGGCATCGCGGTCTCGCATCTGAATATGTCAAGGCCGCCGAGTCCTCAGGGGCCCAGGATTGGCCTAACGGGACGGGGTTGGCAGGCCAGGCTGGGGCCGCCTTGCAGGTGCCTCTCTCAGGGGCCCCCACCCCCATTCCTCCCATCCCATTCCGCCCACTCACCCAGCTTTACAGATGCTGGAAGTCAAGGTCATGGGTGACACCATCTCCCTCTGCCCTGGAGCGCATGGTGAAGGGCACACCGTTGGCCAGATCATGGTTCTGCACGTTGCATGAGTCTGTGAGCCTCAGTTTCCTTGTTTGGGGAATGGATTTTGGACATCTCCCCACAGGTTCTTACGTATTGAGGCCAGTTTGAGCATGAGCCTGTAATCCCAGTGGTAACCTCCAGAGACTGGGACGTGGGCACCGCCCAGCCTCTCTCTCCCTGCCCGCCCCCGACCCCGCTCCCCCTGAGCGGCCCGTTTCAGACCCAAAGACCTGTCTTGAGTGATGCGGTGAGTTGAAGCAGGGACCGTGTGGGTCTTGGAGGCTGGCACTCACTTACTCATCCGTGATTTATTCAAGAGGCAGAGAGCACTTGTGGGCCAGGCACTGGCTAGGTAAGGACAGCAGCGGGTCCACGTCTCGACCTAGCCACGTTCATGCTGTGTGAGCTTAGGCGGGTTGCTCGCCCTTTCTGAGCTTCTCTTTGCTCACCTATACCAGGAAGGTGCAGAAATCCCCCTCGCAGGGGCTTTGGGAGGAAAGTGCGCATGGAGCCCACAGCCCACGCTGGTTCTCGCAGGGGCTTGTTCCCTTTGGTGTCTCGAAACGTAAGACCTCTGAGCCTGGGCCACTCTCCATTCATTATCCAGGGAAACCCGCATAAAAAGATGTATTTCATCCATGTGGGACGGATGGAGAAGACTAAGGTTTAGAGAGGCGGCCTGGCCTGCCCCGGGCTGCATGGCCAGCAAGTGGCAGGGGCCAGATGTGAACCTAGGCACTCTGAGTGCCTCCGATGTGTCAGGCACGATTCCAGGCCCCGGGAGATGTGCACAGAACAAGTTGGGCAAGACCCCTGCTGTTGTGAAAATTGTACTGTTGTTATTATTATTATTCTAACACAGTCTGCACAAATTCACAAGCAGCTCACTCCATCTCCAGCCCTGCTGGGCAGTGTTGGGGGAATTAACTGTGTCTGAGCCAGGCTGAGCCACACGTTTGCTGTGTGACCTTGAACAAGGGCTTGACCACTCTGGGCCTCGGCTTCCTGCTCTGGGAAATGGGGAGAACAGCGACTCCTCCTTGGACTGGCCGGGAGGGTTGAGTCAGTGTCTGGAAGGGGCGGCCTCCCCACCTGTGTCCCTCTCCCCGCAGGTGATGTCTTCATCCTGGTGTTCAGCCTGGATAACCGGGAATCCTTCGACGAGGTCAAGCGCCTCCAAAAGCAGATCCTGGAGGTCAAATCCTGCCTGAAGAACAAGACCAAGGAGGCGGCGGAACTGCCCATGGTCATCTGTGGCAATAAGAACGACCACGGGGAGCTGTGTCGGCAGGTGCCCACCACCGAGGCCGAGCTGCTGGTGTCCGGGGACGAGAACTGCGCCTACTTCGAGGTGTCGGCCAAGAAGAACACCAACGTGGACGAGATGTTCTACGTGCTCTTCAGCATGGCCAAGCTGCCCCACGAGATGAGCCCGGCCTTGCACCGCAAGATCTCCGTGCAGTACGGCGACGCCTTCCACCCTCGGCCCTTCTGCATGCGCCGCGTCAAGGACATGGACGCCTACGGCATGGTCTCACCCTTTGCCCGCCGCCCTAGCGTCAACAGTGACCTCAAGTACATCAAGGCCAAGGTCCTACGGGAGGGCCAGGCCCGCGAGCGGGACAAATGCACCATCCAGTGACCGGGAGGGACTCTGGGGTGGGGCTAGGGCAGTGCCTTCCAGGAGGTGGCCCCATGTGCCTGCTGTCCATGTCCCCCCTCAACGAGACCCCCAATGGCAGCCATGTTCGAAGGCCTCTGGCGCCAGAATGGGCGACCCCAGTCTCTGACTTCTATGTTCTCCTACCTTTTCACCACTTCCCTCTGATTCTGCTTTTCTGAGGTCCCCTGTGCTTCCAGCACCCAAATCAGGGCCGCCCTAACCTTAGGGCTGTAAGAAATGCTGATGCCAGAGGGGCCAGACTCCCTACCCGGAGGGAGACTCCTGGAACAGTCGTAGCGGGGTGGAACCGAGCCCCCCAGAGCAAGGTGGGAAAGGACTCAGGCCCTCTGGTCTCGGCTTAGCTGTTCCCACCCCCACCCTGGGGGTGGCCCTCAGGTGTCCCTGATGGTGAGCCAGTGGCCGCTGACTGTATGAAGGAAGAGGAGCGTGGCCATGCCCTGGACCACGCCCATCCCTGGACTGCCTGGCCTCCGCTGGCCTCCGCCGTGTCTGTCTGTCTGTCTCTCTCTCTCTCGCAGTTTCCTCCCCTCTGTCTGCTGGTTGTGCTTTGAAGTTCTAGCTGTCCTCCCGTTGTGCATAGCTGTAGGAACAGAAATCCTTGTACTGTAAAAGCTGCCCCCGCCTCGCTGGCTGGACCCCACTGCCTCTCCTGGGGACCCCTCCCTCCCCCGATCCTGATCCCGGACAGGGTTCTGGGGTCCTGCCTCCGGCTAGACACTGCCCTCCGTCATGAGCGTCACAGTTTACACTTGCACTGTCGGGGCGGACAGGCTGGGGCTGCTTCTCCTCCTGCCCTCCTCCCACCCCCCAGCGCCCTTCCCTCCCCCGTGTCACAGAGGAGGCGGGTGAGACACGGGGAGGTGGTACGCTTCAGCCCATCCCCGCAGCGCCCGGTCAGGGCAGGGATCTGCCTCGAACCACGCTGTCTCCTATTGTGCTTGCTTCTTAAGCATTTATTGAGCACCTGCTGGGTGCTGGGTCCACTGTGTGCTAGGAAACAAAGAGGGTGAGCAGTGCACTTTATGCCTCCCAGGCCAGGCCCTTTCCCAACCCTGGCCTCTTTCCTTCACCCGCATGGCCTGTGCCCACCCCTGCCGCCCCACTGCCCTTTGCCCTGTGTGCTGTTTGGGGGTGGGGGGATGGGGGGTGCAGGAGCAGCTGGGAACCGGAGCAGAGCCCAGAGAGGTAGGTAGGAAAGCTCCTCGAGGGTCCCTAGCCTGTGCCTAGCGCTGGACTGCTGCGGACTGGGTGTGGTGGGATTTGAGCATGTGGACCAAAGGTCTTGCTGTCTTGTCCTCAGCTCTTAACAAATACGTTTTGTATCTTAGTCTCCTTCAAAATATTGAGATTTAGGCCTACCAGGAACCTTAGTGATCATCTAGTGACTCTTTCTGAGGCCCAGAGAGGGTGACTGTCTCTCTGGTCCCAACGCACACGGCAAGTCTGTGACTGGCAGAAGTGGGGCTAAGTCTGGGTATCGGGCACCCCCCCCATGCTTCCTCAGCCCCGGGTGGGGGGAGGGGCCCTTCAGAAACCAGAGCGCCTTTTCCCTGACCGTTTCTCCAGATCGCCCTTTGAGGGTTCCTGTAAATTCTGTGTACACACATGTGAACACCGAGTTCTACACGGGCCCCAACCCCAGCTTGCCATACCCTATCCCTCTCCCCTGGCACCCCGCTTCCATGCCCTCACCCAGCCCCAGCCTGCACCCTCTAAGCAGACCGGGTACCATCGCCAGGACAGGTGTGTGGTCTGGTCCCACCCCATGATGTCCCCCTGCTGCCCCAGATCTCTGTGTACGCTACCAATTAAAGTGGGTTTGTTTCTAAGCTGTGTTCCTGACCATGTGAATTTTCTCTGCTTCCCAGAGGTTTGCTTCTTCCTCCAACCAAAGCTGGCCTTGGCCTCCCGGGATCACACCTGCCCTTGGGGAAGCACTGAGTCAGTCTTCAAGTTTGAATAGATGGGGGAGGGGCACCCCAAAACAGGAGGTTGTGCCCCTCTCTTGGCCCTTGCCCTTGTAGGCCTTCTGGGAGGTGTGTGCTGAGTTGGCAGTGTCCCTCTGGAGGGGTAGCGAGGTCAGATGAGAAATTCCCCCCCACCCCACAGATCATTAGCTTTTGGGGGCCACCGTAGGTCTGAGTTCTGTGGGGCCCCTGGAGACCATTGATTTGGCTCCCGGGAATGATTGGCGTCGTCTGGAAACATTTTTGCATCACCAAGCCTTGGGTGGGGGGTCCTGCTAGTATCGAGCAGAGCGAGCGCCCCTGTGCTCAGGTCATGCCCCACAATAAAGAGTTACCTGTCAGTAGTGGGCACCTTCAGCTGGACAGTTGGTTCTCAAGGTCAGGACAGAGCCCAGGTCTGTATGGTTGACTTGATGTACAACTTTCTGGACAGTATTTAGTAAACCCTGGACGAGCAGAGTGAGCCCTCGTGTGGAGTGAAGCAGGGTGTGCGAGGGGCTGAGGGTGGAGGTCGAGGGACAGGATCTTGAGCCTGTGCCCCCCGAACTTGCCCCCAGGGTGGAGGGAAGAGGAGGGGACCAGCCTTGCACCTGCTGCGTGCTTTATCCTTGGTGTCTCCAGCCCCGCCCCCCTTCAGCTCCACGAGAAACCCACTCCTCGTGTTCACCCCGCTGTCCCCTCCTTGTCCCAGATGGCACAAAGCTGGTGCCATGGCAGATGGGGGATTCGAAACCAGAGGCCATCTCAGCTTCGTGTGGGCGAGAGAAAGATTTTTGCATTGATGGTCTGTGTGTGTTTTTTTTTTAAGAGTTTATTTATTTATTTGACAGAGATCGCAGGTAGGCAGAGAGGCAGGCAGAGAGAGAGGAAGGGAAGCAGGCTCCCTGCTGAGCAGAGAGCCTGATGTGGGGCTCGATCCTAGGACCCTGGGATCACGACCTGAGCTGAAAGCAGAGGCTTGAACCCACTGAGCCACCCAGGCACCCCGATGGTCTGTGTTTTTGATCAAGAAATGCCAACAAGCCTGTAGGTGACTGGGCTCCCAGTTCAGAGGGCGAGATCTCTGTCCGGATATTCACAAAGTGAGAGGAGCCTGGCTAGGGTAGAAGGGAAACCAGGCGGGCCTGGGGCGTGGGGGAGCAGGAGGAGAGCTCCCCGTTCTGCCCACCTGGGAGCCTAGCGCCCCTTCCATCCTTTGCCCACACTAGGCAGAGAGGGCAATTGTAGGAGGCAAATCACGTTGACACTTTCCTAGTCCTGGACTTTGTAAGCATGAGACATGGAGGCGACACTGTCCCCTGTATCACAGGCCAGCACAGTGTCATTAGAAGGGCTCATGGGGACGCAGCTGGGCTCAGCAGAGCAAGCCTTCCCCTGTGGGCCAAGCCCCGGCCCTCTCTGCCACTCCCTCCCCCTGCTGGGGACTCTGAATAAGTCATGTCCTTTCCCAGACACTTGAGCTTCTTTATCTCTACATGGGAGGTGGGGACAGGGCATTTGGACCAGACAACATACGAAGAAGCCCCTTGCAACCCTATGTTCTCTGCAAGGAGGAATTAATATTCCCATTACACAATCCATGACATTCTGCTCGTTACTAAACAGAGCACGCTTGCTCCAGCCTGGGCCTGGCCCCGGCTCCTTTCATCCCTCAGGCTCTCCCTGGGATGGGGTTACTGGGCATGGGGGGCTGGCTGCGGCAGAGGACACTAGCCCCACAGATCTCTGCTTAGCCCTGGGACAGAGGGTAGAAGCAGATGGTAGGAAAATTCCCCCATTGTGAAACCATTCAGAGACAAGTGCAGGACAGCCGTCTTAGTTCCCGGCCCTAGCACGGGCACGCCGGGAATCTGAGTTTAGAGAATTCTGTGCTTCGAACTCCAAGTACTTATTTTGTCCCACCTCCCTGAACCTGTCACTTACGCAAAAGGAAAACTTCAGTCTGGGTCACGGCTTACTGGGGCCAGCTGGGGCTCCACAGCAAAGGCTGCTGGGAACAGAGGTGGGGAAGGAGGGTGGCCTTTGTTGAAGACTTACAGTGCACTGAGCACCATGCTGGGCCTCTTGTTGGATCCTCGTGGCAAAGCTGTGTGGAAGGATTATGACTCCCCCTTTATTTTATACACCAGGAACCGAGGCACAGAGAGGTGAAGCCACTTGTCTGAGGTTGCACAGTGGTGAGGGGGCAGAGCTGAGGTAGAAACCACGTCTGATCATCAAGCGTGTTTTCTCCCCAGAGTTTTCATCACTGAGTTGCCTGAGGGGCTGCTCTCTGGAGGGAGAGACATCTGAATGTAGTTCAGTAACCTGGAGCGGATGTCGTGCACAGGGAGTGAGATGCTCTATAGCTCATCGCAAAAGGTCCAGCCGCGGCAACAGAGGACCGGGATGATGGCCGTTTCATGGCAAAGTCTGAGCTGAGTGCACTAGACCAGGGGCTGGCTCTGCTCCACGGGTCATGTGGGCATCCAGGTTTCGGGCCGTCCCATCTCTTGGACCATGTCACCATCTGCAAGGTCAAAGCCATGTTCACCCCATGAACCACATTCCCGTTCAGCCAGCGGGGTTAGGGGAAGAGACTGCAGAGGATGCTGCAGTTAGGCCCCTCTACTCCCTTCCCCTGGCCATGCACGCTGGCAAGAAGGGCTGGGAAACATAGTGCCTTGCCCGGTGGCCCCATGCCCAGTGGCACCTCTGCAAGGAGAAATGGGAGAGACCACCTGGCTGGCCAGCTGACGGTCCTCCTGGCACCCTCTCCATTATGTCCAGACCTCGGGCCACCAAGCGCAACCTGACTTCCCTGCCGCTACTTCCTTAAAGTGAATCTGGGCTTGATTTTCCCCTGCACCTCGATCAAAACTTGGACTGTCCCATGGTTTTTCTCATCTGTACTAAAAGCTCTTCAGGTGGCAGATGTAACCTCCCTTAAAATCCTTTGCCCATGTGATGATAGTTCAGTCTTCGGGCAAAGGGAAGACCTTCCCTCCTCCGCCCCGCTGTGGTCTGCTTGCACAAAAAGGTGGAAACTGAGGAAGAGAAGGATGGACAAGTTCTCCTTTCCTTGCTCTCTGGCT